GCTAAGATGGCTGCCAGGATTCCACAGAGCGACAGCACCACAGAGAGGAAGAAGGAGAAGCAGATTCAGAACCGATGTGAGCGGGTCTGAAGGAGAAAGACACGGACTTGGACCCCGCAGAATGAGGGACGGGTGTTTGCGGAGGAAAAAAGAAACCCTATCCTTGTGTGTTCTCCCTGCTCTGTAGACTCGGGGTAGTGAGGTGATTTTGTTTGTCTCATTGTGTTTTCCTGGTTTTGGCAGCGTGCAGACGGGGTGAGGAGTGCAGCAGTTTGCTGGCACGTAGCACGCCAATGCCACACAGGATCAGGATGCTGATTTGGGCTAAAGTGAGGTCCAGACTGGGGGGTCCTTCACTAGCTGCTCTGGGTCAGGCTGCTCTGGCCCGGGACCCGTAAGACCCCGGACGGTCTTAAAGCGTCAGTGGTGCGGGATAATTGGTACATATGATACAACCATAAAAGTGTACGAGTCCGCGGTACACGGTGAAGACGAATGGCAGCCAGCAGGCCAAACAAAACAGGCTGAAGGAGGCAGCTCTCCTCCGCTTCCTGCCCCTGTAGACGTGACGGTGAAACACACGCAGGAGACGGAGTCCAAACAGTACCCAGAACGTAGTAAACCTGTGTACTTTACAGGCAAACATGACTTTACAAGTGGGTGATGGGAGGGTGGAGGCAGAACCGCTGACGTTCAGTGTCAGAAAATATGGAGGAAGAGTTTTGTTATAATGGGGTCGATAAGAAACGGTCGGGACGACAGAGACGACGGGAACTGTTCTGGAACTGTTCTGGAACTGTTCTGGAACTGTTCTTCCTCTGCTGACCTGGAGTGAGACACAACGCTGTGTCGTCTGCGTATAGAAGTAGAGGAGTTACTCTTGTATGTGTTCACATGTTCCACTGCACATCCACCAATCTAATCTAATCTAATCTAGATGTCAGATTAAACCTCATCACGTTACAAACAAAAACTCTCAGATTTTCTTGGAAAGTTTCGCAGGAACTGTCGATGATTGTCGTTTGGAAAGTTGGTTTAAATTTTTTCCTATTTCTAAGTTTTTTGTATTTAGAGAAATATGTGTTAAATAAGTGAGTGATTTAGTTAATTAGTTATTGACTATTTACAGGACTGATCAAACTCAAAGGTTTCTCTCTCTCTCTGTCTCTCTCCCACCTACATTGGCGTTTCTTTTCTGTATTTTTTTTTCATGAACAGAGACTTCTGTACTTACCAAACTTATCTCGATCAGTCTAATGGACTAGCGTGGGTGAGACCTAAGT